AAAGAAAGAAAGAAAGAAAGAAAGAAAGAAAGAAAGAAAGAAAGAAAGAAAGAAAGAAAGAGAAAGCAGGAATGGTATGGGAAGGAAGGAAGGAAGGAAGGAAGGAAGGAAAAGAAAGAAAGAAAGAAAGAAAGAAAGAGAAAGCAGGAATGGTATGGGAAGGAAGGAAGGAAGGAAGGAAGGAAGGAAGGAAGGAAGAATGGTATGGGAAGGAAGGGAGGAAGGAAGGAAGAAAGAAAGAAAGAAATCTATGGAAAGGAAGGAAGGAAGGAAGAAAAGAAGGAAAGAAGGAAAGAAAAGAAGGAAGGAAGAAAAGAAGGAAAGGAAGGAAGGAAGGAAGGAAGGAAGGAAGGAAGAAAGAAAGAAAGAAAGAAAGAAAGAAAGAAAGAAAGAAAGAAAGAAAGAAAGAAAGAAAGAAAGAATAATACTTTCGTTTCGACTTGGAAACCGCTTCTGGATTCTGTGGCTGAGGTTTAAAAAAGGAAAAAAGAAAGGAAAAAGAAACTTTGATTTTGGGTTTTAACCATGAATAGGTTTGTTGTTATGGAAATGGCTAGTTTATATTATTAGGTAAAAGTCAAAAGTTGGAAATATGATACTATTGTCTTATTCTATTGTACCAAAGGGAGCCAGAAGTCAATGCCTTTCTTTCTTTTTTCCCCTTTGCCCTACACTTTTCCCTTCCATTTTTCCTCCCCTGTTTTCCTCCTATTTTCTTTGGCATCTTTTTGTATTCTGTTATTACAAAGTAATACAGGACAAGACGGAAATCCTGTAGGCCAGCGTGGAAAATAGCTGTCCACTTCGCATCTACTCAGGAGACCAGAAGCAACAGACGGAAACGAACCAAGGAGAGAAACAACCCAGAACTAGGGAGAAATTTCCCGGCTGGGGGGAACAATCGGATTGTTGAACTCAAAGGTGCTTTTTATTCAACAGGCAACTGGACTTCCTTTGTTCTTCCTTGAGGACTAGCCAACTGTTCTAACTGAAGAAGCTTCTTGGATGAGGAGCGAAGCATCCAAGAAAGTCCCGTTGCCTCTTGAATGAAAAGCACCTTGGGGAGAACGGTGACGTGATGGATGGCTGAGAGTCTCCAGAAGTTATGGCTGCTCCATCGCTGGAGGTTTTGAAGAAGAGACTGGACAGTTGTTTGTCTCAAATGGGCTCTCCTGCTTGAGGTTTGGGGGTTGGAATAGATGATCTCCCAGGTCCCTTCTGACTCTGTTCTTCTGTTATCTACCCAGGAAAACCCTGAGCAGGACTGGAGAGAAGAATGGCCCAAGGTCCCTCCTTGGAGCCTGACCGTCAGTGATCCTTCGACCAAACTGTCTGGTTTTGACCTTCCCCCGGACAGAATTAGCTGCGATACTAGAAGACGGTTCTCTGCCTCGTATCGGTGGGGTTGGAAGGATTTCCACCTTGTTGGGATTGTGGTGCTGACGTGCCAACTGTGAAACGTACAACCTGCGAGATTGCCCCATGAGGTTTGCCCTCTGGCTCCCCAGAAGATCTGCACGAAGCAACGCCTTATGTATGTGTGAAAGAGAGGGAGGGGGAGAGAGAGAGAGAGATAGAGAGAGGAAGGGAGAGAGAGATGAAAGAGAGAGGGAGGGAGGAAGAGATGAAGAGAGAGAAAGAGAGGAAGGGAGAGGGAGTTGAAAGAGAGAGGGAGAAAGAGATGAAAGAGAGATAGAGGGAAGGAGAGAGATAAAAGAGAGAGAGAGAGAGAGAGAGAGAGAGAGATGAAAGAGAAGCCATTTTGGAAAGCAAAGAGTTAAGCAAACTGTCCAACAATTGACCTGGAAACCAACATCAAGAAAATCAGCCTATTGTTTTCAGGGCTGGTTTGCTTAGCTAATCTCTCCAATCTTGAGAAAACCAGACCACCACCAACCGTGTTTGTTTTCTTTACTTTGGGGGGGGGGCTTTGAAAAAGGAGGGGGCCCCAGGCTTTTTCCTGGAAGGAAATAAATCCGGGGGGACTAAGGAAAACCAAAAAAAAAAAGTAAAAACAAGTTAACTTGAAAGATCAAAGCTGTGCGGTCTGCAGGAAACACACAGTCAGCAACATTTCGCCCACTATATTCATAGGAATTCGGTTAATTTATGAGTAGAATATTATTCTGTGCTTGCAGGATGCAAAGTCTGCAAAACTGGGTTCCTTGGGGTCAGCTAATCGTGGCTAATAAAAGTGTCAAATATTCCCTGGCAAAGCCTCTGGGTTTTCCCCCAGACGCATGGTTTTAATTTGGCGGCTGGCAAAAACTGTCAGATGGTTGGACTCCGATTTACGGAATAAACCACCTTTGGGGGGGGCTTCCATGTTGCTGCCTGAATGGTTTACAAACCACGGTTTGCCCGAGTTCACGCAAGACATGGAAGACAAACCGAAGCAGCCGTGTTTCTGGCTGAAGGAGAGGGCAGGGAGCTGGACTAGATGACCTACAAGGTCCCTTCCAAATCTGTTAATCGGTATACCTCTGTATAAAAGATCCAGAGGGATGGAATCAATGAATTTTTTTTTTTAAAAAAACTATTTAGGTTTTCACATCCCGAGATGCAGAGATCACATTTTTCCTACGTTTTGCTAACTACGTTTTGACAGGTACCAAACGCAGAGGAATGGAAAGTTGATCTCTTTCACAGGAGGGCCCTTCAAAGGAGTTGTAACAACCCTGAAAAAGGGGATTTGCAAGCAGTCCTCACACTTACGACCATCACAGCATTTTCCCCACAGTCACAGGATCAAAATCCGGGCACTTGGCAACCAGCATGCACTTACGACGGCTGCAGCGTCTCAGGAGTCACCGTTCGCAAGCACCCAACAAGAACAATCCAGAGGGGAAGCCGGACTTGCTTAAGGACCGCATGATTCACTTAACAACTGTGGCCAAAAAAAAAAAAAAAGGTTGTAAAATTAGGCCCGACTCACTTAAACAATCGCCTAGCTTGCCCATGGAAATTCGACCGCGGTTGTAATTCCAGGCCTCTCTGTATTTTCTACATACGCGCAAGCTTTCCACTAATAAAGAGCATTTGGGGACAGATTTTACATGTTCCTCAACACGTTTTCACTCCTCGGAACATCACTTCCCAAAATTCTTTGCAATGCAGATTTGTCAACTTCTTCCTTCTGGGTTTCTAAGTTCCAAAATCAGCAGATTTGCCTCAAAAAGTCTTTACTACCCAGTCAGAAAAAAAAAAATGCTTGTTTCCCTTTCCTTAACATGTTAGAAGCACCAGAGAGCATCCAGCTGGGCTGCAAAGCATTTCTAGTTTAATAATTAATGTGATTTTTTTTTTTTAACAATTCTCTCATTTCTTTTTTAATGTTGATCTTATGATGTGTTGATGTTCCTGTCATGGTTAATGTCAACTTTATTGTCCTCATTTTTACACTGCTTTTGTACCCTGTCCGGAGGGATGCAGCTTTTTAAACAACCGTTTTTTAAAATGTAATAACTCGTAAACAAACCCCGTAAAGATGGTTTGCTGCTTAGTATGGAACATGAAGTACCATGAACCAGAAAATCAAAGCTCTGGAAACAGCTAAATGATTTTAACACCCAAGGCAAAAAAACATTTTCCATGGTGGTTCCTCCACACACACACACACACACCAGCAATAATGCACAAAGATTAAAGAGGGATTTTTGGAGTCCAAGAAGTGGCCGCTAACTTCATAAAAACATTAGATGGGAACTTGGAGGTCTTCTAGTCTAACCCTCGGCCCAAGACAGGAGTCATCCTACCATCTCAGGCAAATGTTTTTCCAATCTCTTTCCAAAGCCAACACAGTCCTGAGTTGCATTAACAGAGGGATACAGCGACATCTTTTTTGTGCTGTGTCATGGCGACTAGAACTGGACAAAGTATTCTGAGTGTGATGTTGTTAGGCAACTCAAGATAAAAAAAATCCTTATTTCTTCTAGGAACGCAGTAATATGCCCTCCCAGGGAGCCGGGTAACAACCTAGATACAAGACACATCACCAAGTTATGTCAAAGCCAGACAGGTGCACGGTGCTCGTTGGATGACTCGACAGGTAGGGCTTCGTGGCAGCTGCAGTGTCCACTGGCAGGCAATGCCCAGCCCAAACCCTGGAGGTGTTGCTAATTGCAGCTTTTGGGAAAGTCATCTATATTTAGAGCCAAACTTTCTTTGAAGGCCAAGTGGTTGGGCGGGTTTAGGGTTGCAACTGTGCTGTCTCCTAAGAGGGAATTAAGAGAGAGGAGGAGGAGGAGGAGGAGGAGGAAGAAGAAGAAGAAGAAGAAGAAGAAGAAGAAGAAGAGGAAGAAGAAGAGGAAGAAGAAGAGAAGGAAAGGGGAAAGGAAAGGAAGAAAGAGGAAGGGAAGAGAATGGAAGGGAAGGAAGATGGGTAGCCAATAAATTTAATTAATAAATAAAAAGAAGAGAAATCAATTATTAGAAAGGCTTGGTGAAATTGACATTGAGGGAAGGGAAGGGAAAAAAGGACATTAATGGATGAGTGAAGGAGTGGGAGAGAGAAAAAGAAAGAGAGAGGAGAGGAGAGAGGGGATAGGGAAGAAATAAAAGGGAAAGGAAGGGAAAGGAAAGAAAGAAAAATAAAAAGGAAGGAGTAAGGACATTTTGTCTTCAAGCCTGGTCACTTTTTATCAATCCAGGCCAGACTGTCCTTGCGTGGATTTCATTTACGATTCTCATTTGATTCAAATTCAGCTCCGGGGAATATGCTGAACTTTCCAGCCACGTGCTGGGTCAATACCTCCTTCGCTCCAGGCAAAACAGTCAAACTTTCAGAGCTGCATCCTGGGTGTTTCAGCCGCCG